GTTTATAAATTAAAGAAAATAATTACAGTGTGTTTAATATATTACAGTATATTATAAATAAATAAAACAAATAATTCGGTAAATCTATTTAAAGTAAATGGAAAATAAGCAAACATGTTATTTACCAAGACGCTTCCGTCTGCCTCAGGGTGAGATGGAGGGGAGATAACGGCTATTTATAGCCCATCTGAAGTGGCCAGTACCCTAATGCACCATAAATAATTCATTGAACATTCATTTTTTTTACATAGTATATTCAGTATATATATATATATATATATATATATATATATATATATATATATATATATATATATATATATATATATATATATATATATATATATATATATATATATATATATATATATATATATATATATATATATATATATTTGTGTAATAAATGTATGTAGTAAGTACATACTGGTAACCTTTTTCACTCAAATCCTAATGAAACACCACAATTAGAATACGGTGGTTGCTGTTGAACCACATGTTGTATAAATAGTCCACATGTTGTATAAATAGTCCACATGTTGTATAAATAGTCGGAACACAGCCACACCACCGAGACGAGGGAACACTCCCACCACGCTTCAGTGACGTCACTAGTGTTTACACTACACCAGCGGGTATAATTTGATGACATTACTTGAAGTGAATTGGCCTTATTTTAAAAAATCAAGGATGGTTGGTAAAGGACTACTGAGTCAGTGGGTAAGTGTCACATTTGGGGTACTGGTCTTATACAGCAAATAGAGCTCAAAAGCTACTTTTTAAATGGAAATTTGGGGGGGGGCGTCTTATGCACCCCGCCGCCTTATAGGCCGTGATATACGGTAATACATTTTTATTATTTTAATATACCGGTAATCTTCATTTTAATCCAGCTTCCCAAACGTAAGTTTCAGTATAAAATAATTAGTGGTAGGACCTTGTGAGTGGTTTACCATGTTTCCATCACCACTCTTGACATGCTAAACCGCAATATTTAAGAGGTAAGAATTTTATCTCTGGTGCTTAAGACGACCCCCTAACTTTGGGCTGATTTTTTTTTTTTTTTCAAATTCCGTCTTGTAGGCCGAGATATATGGTATATGCAATTTTTTATCAAGTATGGAATGTGTTAACAAAAATAAATTGTAATGTTGAAGCATTCTCAGATTTGGTTAATGAAACTTATTAATTAAAATGTTAGTTGCAGAATACTGTTAGATTTACACAAGTACACCTCAATCATAGATGCAACTACAGAATACAGTGGTCCCTCGGTTAACGAACACAATTCATTCCACAGGATCGTTCGTTAACCGAAAAAATTTTAACCGAATCCATTATTTCAATGGGATATTGGGTAATTGGCTCCAGCTCACAGAAAAGTACATGCAAAGTAAAGCCCAAAACACACAAAGTCAGAAACACATATATATATGTATGTATATATATATATATATATATATATATATATATATATATATATATATATATATATATATATATATATATATATATATATATATATATATATATATATATATATATATATAAATGTATATCTTGATAAAATCACACGGGAAAATGGAAACAATGAAGCACCTTAGCTTTCGTCTTTATTCAAGACATCTTCAGAGGCAACTGGACTACATGGACAGAGAGAGGCTTAAATATACAGGGTGACCTTAAAAACATGAGGTCAGGTCATAATGATGTCATCCACTAATCCCACACCAACACACACGTAGAGGAGCTTAAGAGAAGGGGGGTGACGTGACTAGTCAGGTCAGGTCAAAAATAAGGGACCCACAAAATAACTATATCATACATCTAGATCAAAGGTTTTCAAAGCATTTTTAACCTTGGGCCACTGACAAATAAATTTATGTAACATATTATCAGTTTTGAACTGACCTTAATGGTCAGTTCAAAACTGACAATATATATATATATATATATATATATATATATATATATATATATATATATATATTTATATATATATATATATATATATATATATATATATATATATATATATATATATATATATATATATATATATATATATATATATATATATATATATATATATATTGATAAAATCACACGGGAAAATGGAAACAACGGAGTACCTTAGCTTTCGTCTTTATTCAAGACATCTTCAGAGGCAACTGGATTACATGGACAGAGAGAGGCTTAAATATACAGGGTGACCTAAAAACATGAGGTCAGGTCAAAATGATGACATCCACTAATCCACACACCAACACACACGTAGAGGAGCTTAAGAGAAGGGTGGTGACGTGACTAGCCAAGTCAGGTTAGAAAAAGGGACCCACAAAATAACTATCATACATCTAGATCAAAGGTTTTCAAAGCATTTTTAACCTTGGACCACTGACAAATAAATTTATGTAACATATTATCAGTTTTGAACTGACCATCACTAAGGTTTATTGATTTTAATTCCTTAATCAAACTAGCTTCAACCAGAAGTCTTTCTGTGACACAAGATGATTTGAATACTTCTAAGCTTTTTTCCCAAGCAATGGGGTGATTATTATTCCTAACATGAACGAACAAGGCACTGCTTTCAGATGCAGTTCTGATATTATACTTATGTTGTTTGATTCTGAGCTGCAGTGTTTTTCCTTTCTGACCTACATAATTACAATTACATTTTCTCCATGGAATACAATAAACACTTCCATTTACATTCAAACTTGGGCTATTACTTATTAACATATTGGTAATGGTTGAGTCATACTTGAAAACAACATTAATATTTAGAAGCTTGAGGGACCGAACTAACGGGACAAATTCATTACGATAGGGCAGTCAAAATATTCTTAAGTGTAGGAACTTGTCTGGTTTGAGAGGAATGAAAGGATTTTTTAGCCCTTTTAAAACAACGATCAACAAACACAGAAGGGTACCCAAGTTTCTGTGCAATAGAACGAATGTGTTTCATTTCATATACATACATACATACATACATACATACATACATACATACATACATACATACATACATACATACATACATACTTTCTGCCTCATTTACACACAATTGCAGTTTCAATTGTTCCTCTTACTTTGACAACACAACATACATACAGTATATTATTTCTCACTTTTGATCTTTTTTTTTAATTTTTGTATTTATTTATAGTTAGTTACTTAAAATAAAGCCAATTCACTTCAAGTAATGGCATCAAATATTACCAGCTGGTGTAGTGTAAACACTAGTGACGTCACTTGAGCGTCTGTAATTAACCGTCGATAGTTTCAAGAATTAATGCACTCAGAGGGTCATTTACTGAATATTCTTTGAAAAAAAATAAATTTTAAATCAATTATTTATAGGAGATAAATATTATTATCAGTAAATATACAGATACCCGGTATGCATTACTGACCACCTCCACGGCTAAAAATAGCCCAATCTCGCGGTCACTTTTCCTTTCTTGTCTCCTCACTGGCAAATGGGGGGGGGGGAGGGGGCGTGGGGAGGGGTGTGTGATGATAGCAGCTGTGTTTATTACATGGTATGTTAGACAGGTTTATAATACATTTTTATTATTTTAATATACCGGTAATCTTAATTTGAATCCAGCTTGCCAAACGTAAGTTTCAGTATAAAATAATTACTGGTAGGACTTTGTGAGTGGCTTACGATGTTTCCATCACCACTCTTGACACAATATTTAAGATGTAAGAATTTTATATTTGTTGCTTAAGACGACCCCCTAACTTTGGGCAGATTTTTTTAATGGTCAAATTTCGTCTTATAAGCCGAGATATCACAGTAGTGGTTCAGCTCACGAAAATTGCCTAAATTCAACATAAAAGGTAGAAAAAGTACACTTACTTTGAAGGTGTATGTAGAAGGCTTTCTGGATGATGATGATGATGATGATGATGATGATGGGGAAGGAGAGTTTGTTTAAAGTTTTTTCTTTAAATCAACACTGCACTGCATTATATATTGTCAATATGTAAAATAAATTTCAAAATGACCAATAATTGGCTTGCAAACAAAGAAAAAAAGCGTTCAGTTGAAGAGAGTCTCAAGCAAGATGTTACGTCCACTGAGGCTGGATGGCACGCATAAAACTAGTTTCATTACCTTCAATTATGTTCAATAATTATTAAAATGACTAAAAAATTTAATAAACTTTTAAAATTATTGAATAGTATAAACTTCTTGATATTTGCTAAAATGGTAAGGAATTTAAGCCCTAGAACCGATTACTGTATTGGCGGACTAATACTACAGCTGGTGGACCGCCAAATGCAAGCAAAAACATGTTCAGGTCGGCTCGTAAGAAACTCGTGAATCGAGGGATTGCTCGTTAACCGAAGTTAAGAATCTTATGGAAGGTAACTCGTTAACCGAGGGACCACTGTAAACTTCACCTACCACGTATAGCCTCCCTTCCTTTGTTACGAAGCAAATTTATAAATTAAAGAAAATACTTGCAGTGTGTTTAATATATTACAGTATATTATAGATAAATAAATAAATAAACAAATAAATTGGTAAATCCATTTCAAGTAAATGGAAAAATTTTACTTGACACCGACATTAGTTCCAGTTAAATAACAGACGCTTAAGTGACATCACTAGTGTTCACACTACACCAGCTGGCAACATTTGATGCCATTACTTGAAGTGAATTGGCCTTATTTTAAAAAACCAAGGATGTGTAAACAGCACTTGTCAATGGGATGGTTGGTAAAGGACTACTGGGTCAGTAAGCTCCCAATGGTAAGTGTCACATTTGGGGTAGTCTTATGTAGCGAATAGAGCTCAAAACCTACTTTTTAAATGGAAATTTTGGGGGTCGTCTTATACACTCTGTCGCCTTGTACGCCGAGATATATGGTAGTTTGCTTTTTCTATATTAATTATTTTATGATCTGTGCATATGAAGTAAGTTTTAAAGGGTGCCAGCAGACTGATGTTTTGATTGTGTTCAAGATTTAAAAAAAAAAAGAAGCATTAATTATTACTGTCATTTTTATCACAGAGCCGAGTGTGGTCGGAGGAAGTTTATCAGGACACACAGATGCAGTATGGGGTCTGAACTTCCATCCTCAGCGCCAACATCTACTTTCTTGTGCGGCAGACTCTACTGTTAGATTGTGGTCCGCAGATGCCCGCTCGCCCTTACTATATACTTATGCTGTAGAAAAAGGTACATTGTCTTGTTTTAGGATACTACTACTACTACTCCTCCTTTTCTTCCTCTTGTCACATTGAAGAACATATGTTTTAGTAGGTTTCTTTACATCTAGTACTGTATAACCATAACATGCTAGTGAATCTTTTTTACATTTTTATTTCTCCCACATTTATGTTTCTCTATTGTAGCTTCATTTCCAGTTTTACAGGTTAATGTCCTTTCACAGGATTGGTTAACGTACAGTATATGATATACAGTGGTCCCTCGGTTAACGAAATTTCAGTTAACAAATTACCTTCCATAAGAATCTTCAATTCGGTTAACGAAAAAAATTTGATTAACTAAATCCTTACGAAAATCATGTTTTGTTTTGAACATTAGCTGATAAGCTGAGGAGGTACTCAGCCAATTCAGTAATCTCTTCTATGTTTACATTTGTTTCCAATGGAGTAAATATCAAGAAAATTGTGCTCTTTAATATTTTTGCATTTTTTATACAGTATTAAAAGTATTGGTCATTCTAAAATTTAGCCATCCAAGTTCTGTCTACATAAAGTTTTTCAACTAATATTTTTGGCTCGATATATGTAACTTTATTCATTTATTGAAACTCAATTACATGCACACACTGTCCTAAGGGCAAAGCTGTACTGTACATGTAGTCAAAATAATGTACAAAATGATTACTAAGATTTTTGTCTAGTGCAAGCTATAGCATGATTATATTCAAATTAATCACTATCCATAAGAATTCCAACAATGTAAGTTATATTCTCCCCTGTCACTTCTGTGACATCTTATAAGCAAAAAACATAAACTCAATCTAAAGGACATAAATAAACAATTAAATACTTCACACCTTGGCGCCAACTTTGAAACATGTCACTGTCACCACTCCCTCCCTCCCTCCCTCCCAAGAAAGGTTTTCAGTCGGCTTTTAGTTTTCATCTTATATAATATCTCAGACTAAAGTTAGGAGAATATAATTTGCATTGCTGGAATCCTTGCAAGACAGTGAATAATTTGAATATAAATGTCATATATTTTGCACAAAAGATAAAATTTTTGCTCTCTGTATTAAAATTCTTAAATTAGATCTAAAATTTGTATGTCTAATGCAAATTATAGCTTGTTTATATTCAAATTAATCACTATCTTATAAGAATTCCAGCAATGTAAATTATATTCTGCCCGGTCATTTCTATACAATTTTATGAGCAAAAAACAAAAACTCAACTAAATGACAAAAATAAATAAATTAAATACTTCACCAGACCTTCCCCCTAACTGTCAAAGTACCTCCCGTTCCCCCCTCTTCCCAGCTCCACACTTGCTCACTCCCTCCCTCCCTCCCTCCCTACCCCCCACCTTCCCAAGAAAGGTTTGGGGGTTTTCAGTCGGCTTTTAGTTTTTATCTTGTATAATATCTCAGACTAAAGTTAGGAGAATATAATTTGCATTGCGGGAATCCTTGCAAGACAGCGAATAATTTGAATATAAACGTCATATATTTTGCTCGAGATAAAATTAATCACCTGTATCACATTACAGTAGTGATTTAAGAGTTCTAGTGTGTGTGTATATATATATATATATATATATATATATATATATATATATATATATATATATATATATATATATATATATATATATATATATATATATATATATATATATATATATATATATATTTATATTGATTTAAGGGCGATTTAGGGGAATTTTAGGAGTGTTTCTGACTTTATGCATTTTTGGCTTTACTTTGTATATACTTTTCTGTGAGCTGGAACCAATTACCCAATATCCCATTGAAACAATGGTTTCAGTTAACGAACGACCTTCTGGAACGAATTGAGTTTGCCACTGTATATATATGTTTGTCAGCTGCTGGAAAGAAGGGAGTATTTGTTATACAGGGTGTCCATAAATAATCTGACCCATTTTAAGAATTATTAATTTAGAAAATTATTAACTTAGAAAATTTTATAGATAGATCATGCTGGTCTTATTATAATTGAAGAGCAACTCTTAAGTTTTTTAATCCTTAAGTTGTCGAGTAATGTATAATAAAAACGTAGTGTTCTGTCCGAGATATTTTTGTAATTATTTAAGTGTTAAAATGAGCCATATATTTTATGGACACCCTGTACAGTAAGTTGATGCCTTACATTCTTTATCTGACTCATCTTTGACTATAAGTAATAAATTTAAGTTTATTTGTACCTTTTCTTCTATGTTGATTATAGTAAATTATAGTTTCTTTCATTAAAATTAATATGCCATGCTGTCACAATAACTAAAAGATGGCTCACTCAGACATGCCTTTTGTTGAAATGTGTTATTAACTTTGCTTTTTTATTTACAACACATGTTACCTTCATGATAAACTGATTCATATAACACTGTCACCTTTTGTTTCTCCCACCAGATGGCATCCCCACTTCAGTTGACTTTGTTTATGAATCAAGCAACCAGTTTGTGTGCAGCTTTAACACAGCTAACTGCGTCATATTTGACCTGGAGACTGGTAAACCTGTCATGCGTCTTGACACAGAACCTGATCAAGGCAGCAATTCTCTCAACCGACAGATCAATAGAGTAAGGATTTATTCTATCTTAGTTTGATAGATTAGATGATTATTGCTTGTGGTTATAAACATTTAAATGGTACAATGATGTATATTATGGTATGATATACTATACTTCATAAACATATAAGGCATGTACTGTGCAGTGATATCCCCATTAGCCAGAACAATTGGTGCAAATCACTTCCGGGGATGAGATATTTCCGGGTATCCAGACAACTTTCTCACACCCGGAAAAATCCCTTTTACCCGGAATTTTTTCCAGTTACTGGGAAAAGTTTCCTAGTGTCTAAACTAGACATCTTGCACAGACAGACACTAGCCCACTTCCTCGGAACATTTCTGGGTGCTGGGGATGTTTTTCTTGAGTCTAAACTACCAGAGTTCATAAATGCAGTTCTAATTTAGTTAGAAACTTCATTTCTTTACTATAATAATCCAGAATAGTTTTTCTAAAAGTTTGGTTAAATAAATATATTTACAAATTAAAAACCTATATGATATGGACATGAATGAAGCTGTGTGTTACAGCAAAGACTGGTATTTTCCACTCCCATGGAGCTGTGGTGGATTAGTGGGTCTTGTGTAACTGATCTGACCTGACCTGATGCAATGTCAGGTGGAGGTAGGGTGGGGGATTAGTGGTCTCATATTACTGACCTTCTGATGGAATGTCAGGTCACCCTTTCTTGGGTGGAGAATTAGTGGGTCTCATGACCTAAAGATGTCTTAAATGAAGACAAAAGCTAAGGTATTTTTGAGGTGGTAGGCTGCTCGCAAACAAGTGCATAAACTTTTATCCACAACATCTGCTCTAATTGTGGTAAAGAAATGAATTTGGTACCGTTGCATACATGGAGATGCATTCTTGGTAACGTTATTTTGTACCTATGAGATATACAGTATATTGAATATAAAGGGTACAGGTATTAATGGTAACACTAGGCAACAAATTTAAAAAAAATATTCTGTAACATGGTTCAAAGCAGCTTCCTTTGGTAATTTTGAGGTGCTGATTTCAAATCTGGCAATAAAAATTCTCTGGCATGTACAGTTTATTTGTAATACAAAAAATTAAATCATGCAAAAACTGAAAAATACTATTTAAGCTGTTATTC